CCCACCTTCCTCAGGCGGGCCTCATAGGAGAGGTGCTCCAGCCCTGGGATCATTTTGGTGGCCCTCCTCTGGACCCGCTCCAGCAGGTCCATGTCCTTCTTGTGCTGAGGGCCCCAGAGCTGGGTGCAGTGTTCCAGGTGAGGTCTCACCAGAGCAGAGTAGAGAGGCAGAATCACCTCCCTCAACCTGCAGGCCACGCTTCTTTTGATGCAGCCCAGGATTCGGTTGGATTTCTGGGCTGCAAGCGCACATTGCCGGCTCATGTCCAGCTTTTCATCCCCTGGTACCCCCAAGTCCTTCTCCGCAGGGCTGCTCTCAATCCCTTCATCCCCCAGCCTGTATTGATATTGGGGGTTGTCCTGTCCCAGGTGCAGGACCTTGCACTTGGCCTTGTTGAACCTCATGAGGTTCACACAGGCCCACCTCTCCAGCTTGTCCAGGTCCCCTTGGATGACATCTCGTCCTTCTGACATGTCAACTGCACCACCCAGCTTGGTGTCGTCTGCAAACTTGCTGAGGGTGCACTCGATCCCACTGTCTATGTCATTGATGAAGATGTTAAACAGCACCGGTCCCAGTATGGACCCCGGAGGGACCCCACTTGTTACCGGTCTCCATGTGGACATCAAGCCATTCACCACAACCCTCTGGATGAGCTGAGCGAGCTGAATAGATTAAATAAAGCAGAGTAATTTACATAATAAAAAAGAATGCTAAAACATCAGCATGTTTCTGGAAGTGACTTTGGGCTGTTGAATTGGAGGGTTTTGTTCATGAAATAGCATTATCATAGGCAGTGATTTATAATCAACATGTGAGACTATTCAGCTGCTGGAATGTGCAGTTTAAGGGTCCTCCCCTCCCCTGCCCCCCCCCCAGTGTAAGCATTTTTCTTTTTATTCTTAATGTCATCAGTTTTTGAACAGTGAAGCATGGCAAGCCAGGTGTAATGCTGTCCCTTATAGTCCAGCTGTTGGTTCTTCAGTCCCTCACCTTTATTGGGAGATTGTACTGTAGGTCCATGAGTAAGGAAGGAAGAAGCATCAGGGCTGTAAAAACAATTTTGTCGTGTTCTTTTCCCCCTCTCTTATCCCTGATGCTAGAACCCCATCTGAGGAATTTCTGCCCTTGCACCACAGCACACTACTCGTTCATTCATGCCAACAGTCAGTTACAGCATTGAGCTATAAACAAGATTAGGAAATTAATGTGACCAAACTTTTTGGGTGGTAGAGGGAAGGGAAGGAGAGTGTTGGAGAGATTTGTTTGGTTTGTTTTAAGCTAGGTGAAGTTTTTGATTAGGGTTCATAATGTGGCATCAGAAGTACTTGTGCAGTAAAGTGCAGGGTGGTTGAAATTGATGATAAAAGGCAAGAGTTTTTAACATCCGTGACTTCAGCACTGGGTGAGAGCTGAAAGGCATTAGAGATGCAATTATGTGAATCTAGAAAGGGACAAGGGAAGGAAAAAAAAAAGCTTTGAGATTTGTCTGGAAAAAATTTGAAAATGCTATTCCAAGTGCCCAGGACTAGCTAAATCTGTTTACTTCATACTGTTTATCACAATACAGAGAGTGGAAATTTAGGGCACTATGACATGGTTACCATAAGCAAATCTGGACAGAATGCGGAAGCACCATTTATAACAATGATAACGATTCTAGTTTTTTTTATGAAGACTTGCATTGGATCATTATGAGCTGACTATTGGAAATCAGGCTGCATTTCAGAAATTCTTAAATGCTTGAGTTCTTTCTGAGGGTATTTTCATTTGGTTTGGTTTGTGTTTTTTTTTTTTTTTTAAGCATCAAGTAGTTAGATGCACAACTCAAGTAGTGAAATTTTTAATTTAAGAGGCACCCTCCTCTACTGGGGGGTGGGGCAGAGTTGGGTTTAGGGGGTAGGAAGCCATGTGAGCTATTATGCATAAACAATCCCTTTATACTAGAGAAAAGGTCTGTAACAATGGGCTGTAAAAGCTCTGCATCTGACGGTGGGATGATTCCATTGCTGTCAGCTTTCAAATAGCCATCAAGCTCTCCTTATAAAGATTTTGTCTCAAACCCTGACACAGGAAATGTCAGGGCAAGTTGGGAGGAGAATCATATTAAGGACGGCCTGCATATGTGGCAGTGTGACAGCCCTGAGAGACTGAGGTACCTCATATAGGTCCCTAAGCTATGCCAGGTGCCTCCACAGCTTCCTGAACTGCCTTGGAATGGGAAGGCCTAAAATTGGCTGAAAGTTGCTGTAGAATGCTTTCCACAGACTCTTTTACTTACATTTTTGGTTGCAGTTCCCAACTCCAAACTCATGTTTATAGTACGTAATTCAAACTCTCTTCATTTGTTCTGATGATTTGTCATAAAGATACTAAAACTAATTTTTCTTCATTTGTTTTTAAAGAAGCTGAGCAAACAAGTCATTATGAAGTGCCTTCTGTTACTTCAGAATCCTAATCACCACTGCTTCCAACTTTTACACTAGTGTCAATACTTGCATTTGACTTACTGATCCAATTCTGTCTTTTTTTAGGTGGATCCTATCCTTTGGTAAAAGAGTGGTTTGTCTATTTTGGAAATCCTCTCCAGCAGCCAGAGCTGGTACAACCTGTACAACCTTCTATTCCAGGTAGAATAAAAAATGTGTTTAAATCTGAACTGAAATAATGACATCACTAAAATCAGGTTAAACAATCCATTATCACATGTTTGATATGGAATCCAAAATGACTGTGGAGAACAAGGAGCTGAAGTAGAAATGCTGCATGCCTGTAATTGCTTTTAATTACCCTATATAGTTATTATATGATTCAGCTTTGAGCTACATGTTATTACTATGTCTTGTTAAATCCAGTGCTAATTCAAATGTCAGTTCTAAAATGCAAACAATTTTTTAGAGGTTCTAAATACTGCTCTGAGGCCAGGATAAGTGGTGTGTAGGGCCATATTAAAATTCTTCTATTAAGCTGTTTGAGAGAATGTGTTAATGAGTCTGGCAGAGAATATAAAAAAGGGCCATTTTTACATCACCTGTGACAACCCAAAAAGAGAATCCAGCTTTCAATAAAAAAATAATTAGGCTATCTGTTTCTGTGAAGCTATTTCTACTGTCTTGAAGCTTCAAGTGTTTTGTGTGTTCTTATCTTCTTTCCTTTGGTAAAGGACCCATTTGTGAACACTCTTAGTGAAATTAGTGTTACGAGGAATGTGTTACATTTACGAGGAAGTATCATATATAACAGTGAAAACATTGGGCACTGCATATGTCACTCATCTCTTTATCACTAAATTGTATCACACAATGCAAGTTTAGGATAGGAAGTAAACAGTACTGTACCAATTTTGTTATTTCAGAGGGAAAATTGTTCTAATTGTTCATTTGTCCATGCTGTTGTAGTCATAACCCCTCTACTGTCACAGCTTGCTCTCTCTGTCTGGTCATCTCCTATCATGTGGATCAGAGTTTTTTTAGTCTTTCATATGGAATGAATTAGTTCCATTGATATGATATACAATACCATTGATATCTTGTTAAGAAAAATTATTATCTACTCAGATCTTTGAGAGTAATTACCAGCAATTCTTCCCTCAGTACCCAGAGCTTTCTGTAGCAGTCCTTGTTCTGATCTAGTCTAAATCCAGATTCAGAAGTTGTTGAAATGCATGCACTTTGTCATTTGATTGTGGGTTGTTTTTGTTGTTTTTTTTTTTTGTTAGGGATTGCTTTAGAACCTACTTATTTCTAATTTGCTAGGGTTATAGTAAATTTTCTTTAAGGTATCCTAAAATTGTATGTTTATCTTCATATTTGAAACTCATATATTTAATGAGAGTCTTCACATTCAAGGGTGAAGGAAAAACAGTTGCTCTTTAGATACCAGCCTTTTCAAAATCCTTTTGAAAGGAACTGTTTGGAAAGAAATGAGTTACATAGGCAAAGTACAAACAAGATTTCATTTGATATACAGTAGTTTCACTGTCCAGTACCACGATACAGTATTAGGAGAGTGATTATCTAATTGACTTGATGATAGCATGAAATTGCTGTGAAATTTTCCAAATGGATATGAATGTGCAGGGTAAAAATTGATTGGTCTGTCCTGTACAACTGTTTTATTTTGGCATACAATGGTCTGGAAACATGCATTTGTAAAACAAGCAAACAAAACCCAACAAAGTGTAAACAATACCTATGTAGTTACCTTTCAGTTTGCATGGCAAATATACTATATTTATTGTTGTGAAATTTTCCTTCCCACATGGTATAGTACCTTCCTCCCTTTCTGGAGAGGAATCCACTTAATCTTCATGTACTCTGGTTCTACTGCTTTGCAAACATGCCACACATAGAACCCACCTTCATGTTGACAATAAACAGGATTTAAGATCACTCTGTGTGTTTGTTTATAGCAGCCACATAAGAGGAATTTATAAAAACAGCATCTTCTGAGCCATAATCTTTACTAACTCAGTAATGAAAGGCTGTTCAAGCAGACTGTTAAAAAAAGGGGAGGAGGACTTCTAGTGTTTATTTTTAGTGCTCTGTTGTCATTCCTTCAGCGAACAAATATTTTTCCAGAATTTTTGCAGTCCATATTTGTATGCCTTACATTCGCTCATGCATCTTTTATTTTCCACAGCATGACTTTCTAATTCACCAAATAAGGTTCTCAACAGCACATCACATTTTTCAGACAGGGATCGTATTTAGAGCTAAATTTAAAGAAGTTGTTATAGGAAGTTGAAGTTCAAAACTGTCAATCAAGATCAGGTTACTCAAAAAAGAGAAAAAAACCTTACCAGAAACTATTTGAAAAATCACAGGCACAATTAATTTGGGAAGATTCTTTGTTTTATCTTTTTTGGAAAAAATGATAACCTCATCATCACAACTACTTTAGAAGTGTACTGAGAATATATGGGAAATCCTGACTCTATTGAATTTGATTTAGATTAAGAAGTCTGCAGAAATAATATTTGATATGAATTTTGAACTGTAATGCTCATAACCATTAAAATATTTTACATTTTGCATTGATCTTAAAAAAAAAAAATTCCCACTGATTTTTTGTGTGTATATAAAACAGCAAAACTGTCTTGCATCTGAAAAGCTTCCAGGTGATAGACTGAATGTTAGCTTTTTTTTAAAAAACAAAATATTGAATCCTAAAGGCTGTAAGATGATAGCTTAAAATATATTTAAAATATAGTGTGTATTATGTATATGTATTTTTCATGAGATACAGTCTTCTGAATTAGCATCTGTGCTTGCTCGCATTCTCTGTCTCTCCCCCTTCTGGAATGTTTCTTTTCAGCTGAATGAATATGATCATGATGTTTTCCACACGTTGACAGAGCAGGACTTAAATTGATAAAAAAATGTCTGAGAAATGAATTTTGTTAGAAGATTTGTGATCCAAGAAAATACTGTTTAACATCCATATCTTGTGAACGTAGCTGATCTATTTGATATGTGTGCAGTTTATATGGAACAGAGGAAGTTTTAAAGTCTTTATCAGAAATGTATGAATTCTGCTTTTAATTTTATTTCTGAAAATGTGTAGGATATTGTAGCTTCATACCACAGGAGTTTGGATGTACTTTCAGTATACTAATCATTGCATCTTACAGGAATATGTAACAAATATCCTTATGTTCAAAATGCTGTCTCTGGAATGTGCTTTAATGGTCAGATTTAATTGGCATTTGGGTTTATGGCATCTTTAAAATTGGATACAGTTGTTGACAAGTTAATATTGAGTGTTCCTAGCAAGTACATTTTTATAAACTTATTTTTCTGGCTCAGTATTTACATGAGCGTGTAAAATGATGACATGTTAAAGTTCTATTACTGGTGTGATAAAATGAAATTTCAATAGTCATTATTTCAAATATACATAAACAGTTAATATTGTACATTTATATCTATATACACAATGATGACATGTCTTAAGTTGGTATGGATGTGAGGATCACCTTTGTGTAAGCCTTGAGTTCAAGGATATCATAGTATTAATGCATTCCACAACTTTTGCATGCATGGCATATTCATGAGTCAGTTATTAAAGTTCAAACAAATGAAGTAAATGTTTATGTATTCCCTTGAAATGCTCTTGTTTATCATGATGCTTTCTATATGACAGTGTCTTTAAATGTGTGAGTGAAAAGGAAAAAGGAAAAAAAATAATTTGATCAATGCTTTTTCTCTTAACTTGTTGGTTGTCTATTTTTGTGTTTAGGCAAGTAGTACCTCTTGACCTCCATGGAGGTCTTTGTCATGCTGTTCTTGGAGTTCCCAAGGACTACAGTTTTACATAGTACTGAATATCGTTTTCACACAGTTTTGTGCATGTTGAGAATAACCATAAGCATATGCAGTGTTTGAGTATCTCTGTAATTCATAGGAACTTGTGGTTCCTCTGACACCAGTAGGATAGGTAATTTTCTCATGACTAATCTTTACAGTAAAGTTGAATCAATTATATATATATAAGTATGTTTTGTTCTGTTTCCCTTTTGTTACCCAGTTTTGGGTTTTTTTAAGGTTAGTTTAGTAAATACGTAGATGTGTTCAGGAAGTAAAATATTTCTCCTCCTTATCCAAGTAAATTTCTCTTTCAGAAACATTTTCTAATTGCTGTAAAGTTTATGTAGTGAGGATGTAACTAGAGCAGAGAACAATTTTGTGGGTCTACTGTATATGAATCTTAGGTCTGTTGTGGACTGTATGCATGATGGGAGAGTCATTAAACTTCAGTGTATTTGTTTCTTTGTTTTACTTATCTTTCATTTAAGGGTTAATATAATGAATTGTTCTTGGGTATTACATGGAATTTAATTACTTGTGGAAGAGATCCTTTCAGAAAAATAACGCTTTTGGTTGGTATGTTCCAAAAGGAGTTAGCGTAAATTTTTCTTTCCCAGGGTAAATAACTCATAATTCATCAGTACCTCTTTTTCCCAGGCACAAGTAGATGTTGTTTCTGAAAGTATAAGAAACTGTTTATTGAAGAGATGTCTTGAATTTTTTGTTGAGCTCTCTCAATATAGATATGTAATCTTGATTATTGATGTAGTTCATGGCTTCACGCTGAAGAAAGAAGGATTTCTATTATTAGGTATACCCCTGGATGCAATTAATTTAAAAAAACCGTACAGATGGAAAGAGTACTTTAACTGATTCTTGTCCTATGTCTTCATATACAGCTGATTTGGAACCTTCTGGAAAGCAGAAACCATCAGAACTATTTGAGTTCACCTATGTAAAAATTGTCTCGCACATTAAAGTTGCTTAGCCTTGGTAGGAAAGGTTGGCTTTGTTTTGGTTTTATGCATGTTATCTTTGCTTTTCTTCCTGGAAGTCCGTCTCTGCTGTTCTCTTTTTTCTTAAAGCAGCAATTACCAGTATCAAAACCAGTAATCTGAGTCTTACTGTGCTGTCTGTACTGGCCCACTCACTGCTAGTATTTGCATTATCACTAACCTGCATTTCCAACTCCAATCAAGTAACTGGTATTTTTTCTTAATATTCCCTACAAAATAAGGTTAGAAACTTACAGATTGTATGATGGCAGTTCTTTACAGGGTTAAAACTTTCGACGGGAGAGTTAGTCTTAAAAATAGTAAAAGAAACATCCATCAGGGAGATGAAGAAAGAAAGTACTAACTTCTCTTCTGTTTTCCCCCTCTCCAAAGAATTAGACCATTTGGTTAATGGGCTTTCTCAGTTAAATAAACATCGTTTATGTAGATTTCAGCACTTTGTCACTTTAACCATTTATTATCACCAAGTGTTCCTAACTGGACTACAGCTGCTGCATGTCACACAAAAAAGAAGAGTTGTTACCAAATGTAGCTTAATTAGCCCACATTTAAAATTCACACCTCGTTTTATTTAACTACAGAAGCAGCAGTACTTTATGGGAGGATTCTGTCTTTAATTGGGATTCTTAGGCATAACCAGTTAGCTGTTCTGTTCTTTCACGTGCCTTAGTGTTTATTTTGATAATGGATTAAATTTAATTCAAAGGGGGAGCAAATTTTACATCAGTTCACATGTGTCAAGTTGGGAGATGGCAACATGGGGTAAATATTAAGGATTTAGAGACCAGGGTGAATGGTACTATAAAAAGTTTGGAAAGATGTGTTATACGTGATACATTATACATGATGACAGTTCTTTAGTGCGTGTTTGCAACAGTGTTTCATACAGTAGCCTAGGGAGTGCAAAATACCAGATAGCCTTGATTTTTGTTCCCAAACTGGAACCTAGTGCAGAGAAGTCATACCAGCACAGTGTTTTGTGGAGAATGCGTGTTTGCCAGCAAATGGCATAGGTGACCAGTTTGTTCATTAAAATGGGCGATTATAAGGGAGGCAATGTGAGGATCCTTTGAGGACCCCTGATATGCTAGCTCTAGGAGAGAGAGAGAAGAAGCAGATATGGTTGTTTTCTGCTGAATCACTATTTTATGATGAAACTAACCTCATTTAATGCTGTGGATCCCCAAAGGAAAGGACACACTTGTAGTCAAACTTTGTTCTTGCAAAGGGTAAAAGCCTGATGTCTCAAAGTTGTCTGTATTGTTGTAACAATTGAATTCAGTCCACTCTGCTTAAACATGCCTGTATTCAATACAATTTGTTTAAATTACAGGCCTTAATTTTTTTTGTTAATTTTTTTTTTTCAAATGCCAAGTTTTGTCAGATACATTTTACTTTCAACTCTGTGGTCCTTGCAAGTGCCAAGAGCAGATCAGTTGTTTCCTTTCAGATTGTAATGAGGTAGGCATGTTTTATCTTGTTGCTGCCAAGATAAAATAATGGATTTCTTTTGTAGGTGGAACACCTAATTTGAAAACACTGTGGTTTGCCAAGGGACCTGATGTGGAAAAGCAACGGTATAGTACATTTCTGGCATGCTTTCACCTTCAGGACAGGATGGAAGAGCTCCAAGCTCTGGAAGCACCTGTTGCAGCATTCTGCTGCTTGCTGGCCTATCTTATGATGCAGGTAATGGACAGTTGCTTTTTCTTCAGCTGTCAACCTTGATAGATGTGATTGACTAATAAACTGTTTCTTGCTAGCCTGTGCTGGATTTTTCTCTTAATCTTTACTGTAGGCATAGTCAATCAAATATAATAGTACTGCATTACGGTATTTTTAATTACTCCATTTAGCATGCATCATCCTGTTCAAGAAACACTTGGGTTTTTTAGTAGTTAATCATAACTCTCACATGCCCATGACAAAGCCCCTTGGGCAGTTTAATAGAGAGAGGATTTCTCCCGCTTTTTGGGACCTGTGTGCCTCTTTTTGTGTTTCTGTTGTGTTGTCAAAAGACGACATTCCCTCAGGTGTGACTATGCAGGCTGTGGAAACAGACAATATAAATATTTAGTCAGCTCTCACTGCTTTTTCACACTACCTTGTCAATCTACTCAGTTTCAACCCAGAACTGAGGATTTGGCTCTTATTAAATTATGAGTAGTAGGTGATCATTAGGTAGCAGTTCTGTTATAACTCCAAACATTTGTCAGCCTGCAGACTACCTAAATTGTAATAAAAAGGAACACAAGATTAAATACAATATTGTTTCATTATTTACATTTCTCTTAGGTATTTAATATGTTGTCTGTACTTGCCACCTTTCAAATGCTGATCTCACAGGATTTTACTCTCTGAGGATGAGAAAATTATAATGCCTTTATCTAATCTGATAAGCTCTGTTGCATTTTTACTTACACTGAAGTGTCTTTTGTTTTGCTTTTTCAGACTTTCCTCAATAACAGATTTATACTGGTGTGAGATACATGAAAACAAGTTCTCCCTGAGTTTTCCTTTCTCTTTCCTTCATACATGTTTGTTCAAACTTAGATGATGCATTGAGGAAGTGCATATGGGAATTGTACAAATGATCCATGTAGCTCTTTTTTTTCTTTAATTTTTGTATAGCAGAATATAAATGGAAAGTTTTTTGAAGATGAAACTCATTAAACATAATTTCATGCCTTGTGGTTTCAATTTAGCAAGATACATTTTATGTACTTAGCTTTAAACGTACTTTAAGTGCTTTTCATATTTGGATATGAAACCACAGTTTCACTTATTTATCTGTTTTCACTGTTTCATTTATTTATTCTGCTATCCTGTACACCCTTTTATAGCATGATTACTAGATTATTTGAGACGGGTTTCTTTAGTGGGGTTAAGAGGAGGAGTAACAGGACAGAACACCTACAGAAATGTGGATTTACTGAGCCTTGATCACAGCATATTAATAAAATGAAAAAAAAAAAGGTTGTTAGGGATATGGTTTTCAGAACTTATTATCCAGTAGCTAATGTTAAAAAGAGATGAAAACAGTTTTGCAGCTCATGTTTTCAACAAGAATAATAGCAGAGAGATCATGCAAAGGGCTTAGTTTGATGGCAGGTTTTTTATGGCAGTGCCAGCTTCTCAACACCTGTCCCATTTTCCTGATTCTCTTCTGCCCTCCGAGTTGCACTGATAAAAACATTTTAATCCAAATCAATTTCTTAGTCTGGTTCACAGGGTAGATTTTAATTGCCGAGTTGTTTTGAACTCTGGTTAGTTCTCTGACATTTTCCATTTGTTTTCTTGGGGTGTTTGAGAGGAAAACGTGAGAGCAAGACTGTCAGCAGCCATGCTTTGAGCTGGCCATACTGCTTCCATTTGTTTTATAGCCGGGAAAACAATGCTTGTCTAGCTGTGGCCTAATTCTTGTCTTTACACCTTAGTCTTACATTTGTATTAGAAAGGGAAGGTGAATTGTTACCCCAAAGGTGATTTAAGTTGAGCAATTGTAGGTTGCCTTGAAGGAGGCTAACATAATTTCCTTCAGCTCATATGAGGGAGAAACAAACTTCTTAAATATTTCATTACTTATCATTTAATCTAACCTAAAACTTAGGTTTTTGCAGGAACCAGCATACTGACCAACCCATGTGGCTTCCTCAAAATTTATGTGCAAGTATTTAATGAAAACTTCAGATGCATTTTAAGTGAGAAAAAATTTCCAATTAGCAAATCTTAACTATATAAAGAAAGTGTCGATTTGAAGAGTAATCTTTTCAGTGAGGTTACTTTTCAAATATCCTCCAAATTAAGAACAAAAATAGTGAAAAAAATACAAAATAATAGATCTGCCTTTAAAGTTAGGGAAAAGAGTAAATGAGTTCAAATATCAAACTGTGGAGCCTCCAAAGAAAGGGGAAATTTCTCTTTCAAGCTCTTAGAGTTTTGGAAGAAAACTGATAGTGGAAGTGTGATAACTCACCAAGTTTGGTTACTGAATAAAATACTTCTTTAAAGAAGTGTGTTGACATTCAGAAGCATTTTGGCTAATCTGCCCTGTTGGGGACCTTTCCTTGCTGTTGTACTTGCAAGCACTCTTTGACTTACTTTTCTTAGGACAAAATTGTGCGAGTATTAAGAATTGTTTTGTAGACAAAAGTCACTTTTTCTGTTACTGCAGTGTATAAAATATGCAGGTTTAGTAAACGTCTCTTGTTGCCATCTACACAGAGGCGACACCTGACTTGAAATACAGGGTAAAGTAGTGCCATTATCAGATCTTAGCAGCCAGGTGGAGTTAATGAATAGCAAGGAGCATTTTGAAAGCTTAAAACTTTTCTGATACCCCTCACATTCTTGTGCTTTATGCAAGTTTTAAGAGAGTCATAGAGGGCAAAGTATTTTACAGTGGGATAAGCAGCAAGGCCTGATTAAAAAAAGAAAAAAAAATTCACAGTAGTGGTTGAATAATTTTTATCTTGAGGAGGAAAGAATGGATTACTCCTCCTAAGCAAATAAATGAATGAAGTAATTATAGACAGCTTCTTAGTGTTCTTTTTTTCTTTTTTCTATTGATTTGCATCAATACTTTTTTGTTATTTTTTCTCTCCATTTTTTCTGTCACTTTTTGATTCTTAATAGCAACTCTTAACAGATTGAAATGAGATATACACACTCCCTGAAAATCAAGCTGTTAAAAGAAAGGCAATACAGAGTTTTAGGCAGCCTTTTAACTGTACTGTAAACCCACAATGCACTTTTCCACACTTTGCAAGAGAAACCTTCCCTTGAGTTCCAATTGCTAAAAAAAATGTAGTGCTTTATGGATCTCACTTAGAGCCCTCTCTACAGCCTCAACATTTGTAACACATGCTTGGTCTTGGTGCAGATGTATAAGCTATAGTGCTCTAATAAGAGGAAGCAAGTGATCAGAACTGGTCTGGCACTATCAGGGAATCAGCCCAGCTGGTCTAGAGGCATTGTCTTTCTCCTGAGGTGACCGTGTGCCTCTGCAGAATCTCAGAATACTTTTTCACAACAGTAAATGCCTCCATTCTCCCTTTTCTGATAGAAGTATTAGAGTGAACTTTTACATTAATTTAGAATTTTCCTTTTTATTTGCCCACTTGAACATTTTAGGTTTAGTTTTCTTCTAGTTTTGAGTTCTTCCCACTTCAGTATGTGACCTAAAAACTAAAAGAATCCAAATATGTTTTGTTAAATCCTGAAATTTAGCTTAAAATAGGTGATTGAAATATTTTTCAGATTGCTTTTAAAGTTTCCAACAGATAACCATGTAAGCATTTGAAAGAAATCCTAATGCTCATCGCATCTGTGGCTCATTGAGGTGGTTTTTATTCTGGGTCTTGATTATAAAGCAATTTTTTTTTTTTTTAAATCTCTCTTTTTTTTTTTTTTTTCACTATGCTTAGTGTTATGGTCATGAAGAAATTTCCTGTTATTAAGAAACTCCAAGGGAAGAGAGAAGGGAATACATGAAGGGTGGGCATTTTGTTTGATGTGTAAATATCCATATATATACACTATACATGCGTATTGGGGTATGCACTTCATTAAAGTTCTGAAAGTAAGTATTTTGTTCCCTTTAAATGTCTTTTCCTGTACAATGCATTCATGGTACTCATAACTTCATGAGGTCATTGATTTAAGTTTGATGTGCTTGAGCAAGAGGAGACAATTTTCAGAAAGTTCCTCTTCAGAGCCTTCAGATAATGTGTTATTTTTTCATCTGTTTTAGGTCAGTAGCCTCTCTCTGGAGGACTTAAATGCATTTTTGGCACTCATTCTCTGCCTCAAAGGGAAGTCAGCTGCTCAACTGGCAGGTTTGCAGGTATGGACTGGAATAATTGAGTAACATAAAATGTTCATGGTAACTTTGGATGAATAGTTGGGGGGAAAATTCTTCTGCATTAAGTTTTTTCAGATACAGGAACTGAGGGTCATGGTAAATATATAGGCTTTTAATGTGCTACAGTTCATGTGAATACTTACATTTGTTAATCATGTGAAAAAAAAAAAAAAGAAATAGAAAGGACATTTTCTAGTGGTTGCAGTTATAGGGGTAAGCAAATTAGTCTCAGGTGTCTTCCTGACTTGGTTTCCAGACTTCCAGCTGATGGAAGATTTGTAATGGTGAATCCTGTCTTGCAGCATTGTTTCATTCTTTTTTTCCTGAGGAGTATAGTGTTTTGGGATATAAGTTGTATGAAAACTACTGCATTAAATAAAGCTTGTTATTACTACTTGTGGGAGAACATAACATAAACCTAACCAGAAAATATGTTGTTACCTAATGTGGCCCACTCTAGTGAACGCCTTTTGGATCACTCTATTCTGTAATTATTCAGGAGTTCTTTTAAAAAATTTTATATACTCTCTTCAAGTCTGTTTTTTTCCTTTCCTATCTTCTTGAATCCACACGTGGAAAAGCAGGTTCCTAGATGGTTATTACAGTAGAACCATCTAAATAGTTCTTCTTGCATATCTAATTATACAAGAGTATTTTCAATCTCATAGCTTGAGATTGTATTCCAGGTATTAGCAGTGTACAGTGCAGACTGTACATGTCAATGGCTATTTGAGTTGTGGGTTTACTTAAAAGTGAAGGGGGAAAGGGTTAGAAATGGTTGGAACCTTAACGTATCTCCACTCTGAATATCTTACTTATATTTCCAATAAATTAGCTGTTACTTTGAACATTCCATGTTAGAGTTTTAAAAGTACTTTTCGGTGATAGCGAAGTAAATCAATCACTCCTGTTACTATCCATTGGTTTCTAGTGCACAGGGACCAAAATAGCAAAACCAGTGTGATTCCAGTTTCATTATTTGATTCAATATAACAGATGAAGACCAGCCTCCTATCAGTTTTTCCAAATTCATCACAGATTTGTTCTGCAGCTGATCAAGTGTTAGATCTGTGTGACAAAAAGGAATCAAGGAGATGAAGGTAATAGGGAAAACAGCAAAAATGTAGGATTTATTTCGGTTGAAGACATTATTGCACATAGTGTTGCACTTAACATTGAGAGTATCATCGTCGCAATGACTGTTGTGGTAGTCGTTCAGTAAAAGGATAAAGGAAGCCAAGCGTAAGCGGCAAGTGTTGAAACAATTTGTTTATAGGTGCACTTACAGGTACTATTATATAAGTTTCTAAAGTGCTTGGAAGTTTATTCTGTTTGAATTAACATGTCTTTGTGCGATTCATTTGTGCTGTCATTCTGTGAAATTATCAATCTGACTGTTGCATCCAAACACATAATATATATTGTATACTACTTACCAGCAGTCAGTTACAAGCGGTTACAAGCTTACCAAGCCACTTTCCATCATCTATCAGCAGTCCTGG